CTAGCCGGGTGTGGCTCAGTGGTTAAGCGTCGACCTAGGATCCAGGCGATCAGGGTTTGATTTCCGATCAGGGCACATGCCCGGGTTGCGGGCTCGATCAATGACTCTCTCATCATTGATGTTTCTCTCTCTCTTTCCCTCTCCTTTCCTCTCTGAAATCAATAAAGATATATTAAAAAAAATATATATATATAAAAAAAAGAAGAATGTGGCCTGTATAATTGTTTTAAAACTTGAGGTTTTATATATTCATACATACATACATACATACATATATATATGTTTGTAAATGTTTGGTAGCCCTGGCCAGTGTGGCTGAGTTGGTTCAGCATCATCCAGTACACCAAAAGGTTGGGGGTTCGATCCCCAATAAGGGCATGTATGGCAGGCAACCGATTGATGTTTCTCTCCCTCCCTCCCTCTCTAAAATCAATGAGAAAAAAAAAGTTCGGTAGACATTTGAAAGATTTAGTTCATGTGAAATACAAAATTTTATTGTATGGAGATTCAGCTAAGCTCGCGGTTTTGTCTGCTTTGCATGTTCAAGTCGGAGGTGTGCTCAGGTTTCACACAAAGGTGTAGAATTCCGATGCCGCCTTTGCTGCTCCCTCCAGCTGCTGTGTTTGCTCTTCCTGGTGGCCCGTATTGCATCTCTTGGCTCTAGAAGTCACACTTAATTCTTGAATAAGTTCTCCGTTGACTCGGTTTTCTGAAGTTTTACTGCCTGAATTCGTAGTTTAGAATGTCCTAAAAATGACTTTTCATTTGAAAGCAACCATTCCTTCTGGTTGCTCCTTTTTGAGAGAGATTGGCATTACTGCAAATTTTGTTCAGAATTAAAATTAGAAATTAAAGCTTGCTCTTCTGCTCTGATTCTGTAGAATAATGTCCTCCTTCCAGAATGCTAACCCTTTCCACCCAGAAGAGTGGGGGGGCTGTTTGGTGCGGGATGCCCAGTGTTTGTCTCCCACCTGCATTTTTTAAAAATTTTTGTTCAAAGTATTACGGATGTCCTTTTTTCTCCCCACTGGGCATCCCGCACCAAACAGCCCCCCCTCTTCTGGGTGGGAAACCGAGCTAGTCAGTACCGAGAGAAATCACCATACAGGTAGATTACAGATCATGCGCTCACAGATGCCTAGTTGCCCAAATGAGCACCACGATGAATCACTACTGTAACCAAACGATCTGAAGTAATTTTTTATTTATTGTTCCTTTTGGAAGTAATTTTCTATTTCTAAATAAATTGTTTGAGAGACAAGCCCTGGCTAGTGTGGCTCAGTTGGTGGGGCGTCGCCCCGTGTACCCGAAAGGCTGCAGTTGGATTCCTGGTTGGGGCACGTGGCCGAGGTGTCCACTCGGTCCCCAGGAGGGGGTGTGCGGGAGGCAGCTGACAGATGTTTCTCTCTCCCCTTCTCCCTTGCTCTCTCTCTAAAAATCAATAAATTATTCTTACAAGAGACAACCCCGGATGTGGGAAATGATGGCATGGGGAGTAAGAAAGATACTTTTTTAGAAGTTATCTTTGATGTTCTTCCTATGCATTTACTGTATGAGGTAGTGATGGATATATCCGAATAGTTGATGTCAACTATCCTTATGATTTCTAACAAAGACGGAGGGGAAATATATAAGCAGATTAAAGATGCAGGAGACGTAACAGTATCAAGTGTCCCATTTACTCCCTAACTTAGACTGCTTGTAAAAAATATTCGTGAGGTTACTTGGGTAACTTAACGCTGGATAGGTAGTAATACATTATTTTGTAAGGTGTGGTATGAGTACATGGTGCTTAGGTTAAATGTAAATGACTTCCTATGTCTGAGATTTGTTTCAAAATAATCAGGGAGGTGGATGAGAATACAGATGAAATAAGATTGCTTAGATATGGATAATTTTGGAAGTTGAGTAATGAGTAAATGAGGGGTCATTATATGATTCTTCTGTACTTGCCTGTGTTTGACATGTTTTATGTAAAAAATGTAGTAGAAATTATTTTGACTTTAAATACATATTTTTAATCACTGGGAAGCCTATCTACTATAATTCATTTGTGGTGATTTCTGTGCAAAAGCTGGAAAGGTTGACTCTAGACCCTAGCAAAATGAGGTTCAGGGCTTCTGTGATTATTTGTCTTTGAAAAACTAGCTACAAATGATATAAAGATAAAAAAGAAAATTACTATCTTTTGTAAGTAATACTGAAGTGGAATAAATAATATAAGTTCCTAACATTCCAACTTTTATATAAAATTTATTTATATATACTTATATATATACCAATATACTTATATTTACTTTAAATACTTTATATTTACTTACATATACTTATATATACCAATTTTAAAATTAGAGTAATGTACACTTAATACCTCAAACTTAACACTACTACATGTTCTTAATAGAAGAGAAATGTGATCAAAGAATAGGTTTCTGAGACAGCATGTAAGTGTGGAACTAGGATAAGTTTGATACCGAAAGTAATTTCTAACTACACAGAAAAGATGCAGAATGTAATGTTTACTTTTAGTTTATTAATTTATTTTGCAGGAATCATTGACTTTCCGAATATGTACTGTTTGGAGGTACAATGCATGCATAGCCTTTTAAATGCCTTTGTACAATTTCACTCCAAAATAATTTGATTCACAGCATACACAGAAATCTAAGAGACATGGTATTTACAAGATTTAATAAGTTCTTGCTGTTTTAATAAAGAAACTGATCAATTCTTTTACAGTAGGGAAACATGGACACTGGGTATCATTGTAAGAATCCATAATTGTTCAGTATCAAAGTAACTTTTCATGGCTTTAAAAATGAAAACTGAGCCATTCTATTAATCTCTGAATGCCCATGCCATGCAAAACCTACTTGTTTTAAGTATTTGGGGTTGCACATAATGTAGGAAAAAATGCGTTTCTGCTCAATGTGAAAACATCATCAGAATTAACTTTAACAATAAGAAAATACTGTTAATTCGTTCAGAAAGATACAGTAGTGGTGCAACACAGACAGTGCCCAATTTTTTAATTTTTAAAGTAACATTTCAATTATCATTTTTCCTTCTCTACAGATATACAGACACACTGTAACATGAACTCATTCAAAGTCTGAACAATGACTACAGTATTAAGAGAAATCAATTTTAACTATAAAGGGACATCTTCACATTCCAGGATATATTGTTGATATTTTCAAAGAGCAATCTCCCTATACCTTATATTCTTTTTGTTTATACTGTCAGACATTACAATTACCTTTTAAAATCCTATAAAACTTGAGTTGCCACAGAAAGTTGAATACGAACCCTAGATAACTGGGACAAAGCAATGACAAAATTGAAGGAAATAATTAAAGTACTGAAATTGAGACCAGCTCCTTAAAAATTATTAAACTGCTCATCACACATCCCATTTCTTTCAGGGAAATAAACAAATTAGCAACACTTTCCCCACCATCGTTAATCTGCTCTAAAAACTACTTTTTTACAATGCATTTCTTTGTTTCTTTAAAACTCCCTGCCTCTACCCTCTTCCAAACAAGGTCATTATCAATTTAAAACATTTTTACAATGCTTAGAAAGTTTGTGGCTCCTCTATTACCTCTATAAACCTTTAAGACCTACTCCAAAATTTAGGGGCCATGCACTGTAACAAAATGGTAAATGTGCTTTCTAAAAATCAAGTTTACAAAACAGTGAAATATTTAAAATGTGTAGTTAGGTCTGTGTTAAGAAAAAAAACCTTTTTAATAGAAAGAAGTGCACCACCAATTGATCCAAAGAGCATAGGCACCCCTCAGAAGCAGACACCACCCATTTTGTATCTTGCCATTTATATGCCAATTGTCTGTACATACCTAAGGAGATCCTTTACCTGGAAAGTTGCCTGAATTCTTGTCCAAACTGGTCACAGGCAAGAAGTAGTGGATATATGGGACAGTTAAATGTATCAAATTTATCAGTGTCATGATTTTGCTTATTTCAAAAACTGAATACAGCCTATGTTGGTGTATGAAACTTGTGCGCAATCAGAAATGAACACATACAAAAGAACTTCCTTAAAATCAATCTGATGTCTCATACCCCACTGTCTACACCTATCAAATAGACTGGTTTCTCCTTTTCCCTGGCAGGTGAAAACAATGATTGACTAGATATATCACCAAAGGACTGGAACCATGCATCTACTGTATGATAGCAGCTTAGGAACCTGGATGTATGCTCATGCAATCGTTTTAAAGTCATCTACATGGCTTTAGGAAAGCATCAAACTGTTTCCATACATGCTACTTTCATTCTCAACTGACAACGGCTAAGTTAGTTGCTGCCACTTGAGCATATCACTAAGAATACTGGGAAACCTTTAGCTAGAACACCAAGCAGTATATATATTTCCCCCTAAACTGTTACTAAATACCAAGTGGGGTCCACCATCACTAAAGAGATATGTAACCATACAAAGGCAAAGGCAATGGCATATTACAAAACAGGACTGATAGACTGTTATTGGAGACTGACAGATACCAGTGTTACAAAAGCCTTTAAAGAATGCTGTTTTCAGGTCAATGCTTTTAAGTCCATCTGCTTTCTCACCATTATTTTCACAGTTTTGCCACAGTTGTTGTATGAGATGTTTTATCAGTGTAATTACATAGCCACGCTTTGTAGAGTGTGAAAGTATGATTTTGATGGAAAACTATGATGAGTTGTTATGCCTTTGGTTTCATTATGCTAGTAAGTGCAGCTTATTTTTCCAGGTCTGCCAGAGATCACTGCCAAATTAGAATACAACAGCTCGAAGTGTGTGTGTGGGGGGGGGGGG